AAGAAGGGCCCTAGACACACACACACACACCATCCTTTCCCACCACCCTGACCAGGGCTGCAAGGATCAGACCCTCACCTGACCCTGTCTGCCCAAGTGCCCATCATGTTCCAGAGCAAATACCCCATAGCGTATACCCCATAGCCTGAGTCCCCAGTCAGGCCATCTGCTCACCAACCCATGTGGGACCCATGACTCACTCCCATCTCACACCAAAGTGCCCTGCCTGCTTACCTCCTTTGCCACCGACTTCTGCAGCCTGCCCCGCTGCTCCAGCTGCATAGAGAGGACAGGGGTGAGCTCCCAGGAGCAGCGCCAGCCCTACCACCTTCCCTCTCTCCCACCACCTTCCCTCCACAACTCACCACATCCTCCTTCAGGCGGCCAGCCACCTGGTCCTCCTCAAACGCCCGGGCCTCAGCCTTCTCCTCCTCTGTGCAAGCACAGACCAGAGCAGGTCAACCCAGGCCAAGCCTCCACCTCTCCCTTCCCATCCCCACCCCACCACCCCCTGTGTCCTGGGCCCCGAACGCTCAGGCTGCATCTGCCCCCCTCCCCCAGGAGGCCCGTTAGTCTCCTAGCCACCCTTCCCCAGGGCAGCCAGCACCAGCGGCTCTGGCAGCCCACCAGGCCCCTGCATCAGTCACCCGTCAGGCGGCTGCAGCCGCAGCAGGCACTCGTGGGCACAGGCCTTGCCCCTCTCCTGCCCAGTGCACGGGCTCACCTTGCTGCCTGAGCTGCTCCAGGTAGAGCTTGGCCAAGCGCAGCTTCTTCTCCTGGGCTGTCTCCTCCTGTTCCTCCTCCTCCTCCTCCTCAGTCCTCCTGGGAGGCAGGCTGTGGGGGGGGAAGGGGCTGGCTCTGAGAGGGCTCAGCCTGCTCCTCTGGTCACTGGGACCATGCCTCCCCGCTGCTTCCCCCGCCACTCACCGCCCGCGTCCCTGCCAGCCCTCAGTGCCGATGATTACCCATGCACACAACCGGAAGACGTGACTTACCAAACTGAAAGGACCCACCCAGGGCCCGACATGAGGGTGAAAAGAGATCCCAAACCCAAAACGATCACTGTGAAATCTCTCAACTCTAGAGGGAAAGAGCAGGTTCTACAGACTGCTGAGAAAAGGTCACATACGCAGGGTCTGGAATCAACAGCAACATTGAAAGCAGGCTGGCAAAAGAGCCGCACACACAAAATCCTCAAGGGCAATGTGAACCCCTGGAAGGCCACACCAGTTAAACCATCGACGACCGGTGAAGATACTGTCAAATGTACAAGGCGCCACAGGACTGGTCTTTTCTAAACCTCACTAAAGGATGGAGGGTGTGCTCCCCATACAAGAGGGTGAGCTAAGAATGAGAAAGGGAATAGGAGATCCAACACGGAAAGCTGAAAAGGCAGATCCCAGAACCACCCCCCCGCCCCCAACAGGGGAGCAGCCACCAGCCCAGATCCGAGAGAAGGACCCAAGAGGCATCACTGCCTCACCCTCATTGCCACGGCACTAGCCTCTACCTTGAGGACGGGATTCCAGGCAAAACTTTACTGGGTCTTGGCTTGACCTTGTGCTGGTGAAGGTGCTGCTTTCGGTTCCACGCCCCATCCCTGGACCGGCTGGGAGCACTTACTTCACTCAAGACACATCCTACCCGGACTTGCTCTTGGGAGCTAGAGGTAGGTCACAGGAACCATCCCCTGATCATGTGCCTGAAGATACCTAGTCCCTGTCAACTGCCCCAATTGTTTCCCAAGAGTCATTTATGACTTTGCCCACAATGTCCCCAGAAGGAACCTTGGAAATTCTCAAGGAAGCCAAGGCTAAACCAGGCCCCAGAGACCACTTAGTACCCAGGGCCCAGCCACCCTTCAGCCAACAGGGTTGGTGCTGCCCTTCCTTTATCCAGCTAAGGTTAGAACTTCTCTTCAGTTTACCTAAACTAATCAATTGTTGAGGGGTTCACACATAGGAAATGGAACTCTAAAGGAAGCATGTGCTGTATGATTCCACTCATATGATATTCTGGAAAAGGCAAAACGCTAAGGACAGTAGTTAGCAGGGGCTGGAGGTGGGGAGGCACTGACTACAAAGGAGCAGGGAGAATTCTGGAGCGTGATGAAACCTTTCTACACCTTCATAGTGGTGGCAGTTACACAACTGTATGTGTTTGTCAAAACTCACAAAGAGATTATACCTGAACGAGAAAATGAAAAGAAAGAGGACCGGGGAGGGGGGCGCTGCTGAAGGAGAAGGGAAGGAAGGAAGGAAGGAAGGAAGGAAACCAGAGAAATGATTAACTCAAGTCAGAATGCAGAGCTGAGGCTTCTAAGTTTCTGCAAATGGTCTAGTTCCTAACCTAGGTGCTAGGCACACAGAGCTTCATCATTTCACCACTGCTCCCTAGAGTCAAAACACATTTCGTGGACTCCTTCTGTATCTCACACGCTCACAACACATTTTTTAAACATTTAAAAGTATTCAGCACAGGGCCAGGCACACACCCACCATAGTGACCTTAAAAGTAAGTATAGTAAGTCTTTCTGTGAGCAAGTCAAGACCAGCATGTGCTCAGTGTTAGAAGCTGAATTTCTAAAGCCAACTCTTAGGGAAGGCCCCAGGAATCCCTGGTATGACAGCCTCCTTTCCACAGGCTCAGGCCTGACACCCTGTTAGCCTTCTTTGAAACCCTGCAACATGCCCCACCCCCGGCACCTACAGAATGAGGGAGGTATTCAAAGCCCTCCGCCAAAGCGGCCGACACGTGCCTTTCCATCCTCTCCATTTCCCACTCCCACACATGTAACGCTCTAGACTTTTTTCTGCTCCCTGAATGTCTTCCCTGCCTCTACCTGAGGGATTCCTCGTCATCTCTCCAAGCCCCATTTAAATGTCCCCTCCCCTGTCTCCAGAACACAGAGCTGTAGAATACACATCCCATTGCAACACATCTTGTCTTCACCTGACTGCTCATCTCTGTATTCTCAACAGTAAAGCCAGTGCCTGGCATATATTGAGAGCAACAACTGTGAAATTGCGGGAAAACAGATGAAGAACTAGCAAGCGCTTCTTGTATTTCTCTATCCTTACCAGCCGGTCCAGCCTGTGCTCAGGTCCCTGCCATGAACCAGGGACGTCTCACTGGTCTCCCAGTGGGACTGGGGGTTCTCCCCACACAGAGACCCTGCAGAGGAGATGAGACTTCTCAATCTCCTCAAGACGAGTCCTACTCAACAGGGTCAGAACTGGAGGAAAGTGCCAAGATCCAAGAGCCAAAAAGGCCAGAGACCTGGGTTCTAGTCCCACTCTGTCCCGACTCACTGGGCCTCACTGTTCCCTTCCCCTAGGTGGAAGAGAACTCACCTCTCACTCTCAGAGTCGCTGGAGATCTCCTCATTCATCTTACCGCCTCCCTTGGACTTGCCCCGGTCCCCGGCAGAGTCGGCCTGAGAATTAAATAATCCTTTCGTTGGTCAGGGGTCCCAACCATCCCGGCACTGACCAAGCACCCCTTCCGATCTCTCGAGGGTCGCGGGACCAGGAAAGGCGGTGGCCCCCCGGCTCAAAGGCAAGGTCTTTCAGGATTTGGCCCACAGAGAGAGGGACGAAGCTGACTCCAGCTGGGGTCCCGAAAAAAGAGCCGCGGAGGGGCCCGGGGCCCTGGTGTCCCGTATGGGATGACGGTGGTCCCAGTAGCGGGACTGACTCTGGCCCGCAGAAGCTCCAGGCTCACCTTTCGCCGCCGCTTGCCGGAGCCTGCACCGGCCCCGGGCTCCGACGCCGACCTTCCCCGCTTTCGAGCCGCAGCTGCCGCCGACATGCTGCCCACCGTGAGCGTAGCTGCCACCACGGAGAACTCACGTGGCTACTAAACCCCCTGAGCTCCGGCAAGACTCCGCGCCCGGATAGGCTCCCACTGCCCCGCGGGTCCCGCCTCCCACAGCTCCATTGGGTCCTTCTGTAAGCTCTGTCGCGCCCCTCAAGCGCCCATAGGATAAACGCTCGTGGCCACGCCTCCAAGAGTTCCTACTGGCTTGGGCGCCAGGCTCCAGTAGGAAGCAAGCCTCTCCCGGCGCTTCCGGCCCAAGGCTAGGGCGCATGCGCCCTGCTGCGGGCTGACGTCCGGGGCGGGTCGGACCAGAAGGGCCTTCTCTGTGTTTGCGGTCCTTGGACGCTGGGAGGCGTCAGAGATGCAGGGTTGCGTATCTCGGAGCGTGACTCCCCCCCGTCGGGGGCTGGAGCCAGGGTGAACCATCCTGGCACGAGATAACCGGGAGGAATCTAGGCAGCCCCGAGGAGGGGAGGCAGTGTCTGCACCTGGGCCCAAGGTCACTGGGCAACCGGCTGACAACGTATTGCGTGCCTCAGGCCAGACAAGCGGCGCTAAGGACGCGTCAGTCCCCTGGGCTGCACTGGCTGTATCCCGATCAAGTGTCCACCGGTCCATGGGACAGGCTGTTGGTCTCCGCCTGTCCGGCCTCTGACTCACTTGACTGGTGGCCAGATAGCTGGAAAACCACACCCCCACCCCGCGCTGCCCCTGCTCCCATCTCTGGCATTTGTAGGGAAATCACTCCCCAAGTCCCGCCTAAGGTTACAGAGGGTTGCTAGAGAAGGCCCTAGAACTGAACTGCTGTGGGGGTCGTGATTGCCATCTCTCTCAGGTCTCTACGTCTCTTAGGTGAGTGCCCTCTGCAGGGCAGGGCAGGATGGGGTGGGACTGTAGCTTGCCCTCTGCAGTTCAAGGCCACGGGTCTCAGACCCTGACTGACACCCCAGAACTTTTGAACCCCTTGGGAAGGGTTTCTGGGCCGCTGGGTCCCAAGTTCTGGAGGGACAGATCTGTCCCAGGAGTGTGGCTCTTGGGAGCTCCTGCCCACTCTCCTCCATAGTTGGGGTGACTCAGCCCAGCAACCATGCCAGGTCCATTTTGAGTCAGCTGAGACGGGGAGGAGCAGGAAGTACCCACAGGGAGGAGGAGCCCAGAAGCAGGACGAGATTCTCTTTTCACTTTCCCTCCTTCTTCAGGACCCTGGATTGCTAGAGAGGGTAGGGAATCGTTCTTCCTTGAGCCGAGGGCAGACTGGACAGGGTCCTGGCCTGGCCCCTGTGAATGGGAAAAGGGAAAGGGGACTGGTGCAGAGAGCTGGTTTTGGTCTGGGTCAGGGAATAGGGAAATGGAGGCAAGGGGAGGCAGTGTGTGTGTGTGGGGGGGTGTCACCAAAGGGCAAACCCAGAGTGGGGCAAGTTGGTGCTGTGCCAGTCAGGTGGGATACAGAGGCCATGAAGCCTGAGGGCCCCCTCTGTGCCCCAGAAGAGCCATGGCTCCAAAGCGCAAGCCGCAGGTGCAATGTGAGGCCCCTGAACAAAAGAAGGGGCGGCAGGGGGCAGAGGGGGAGGACAGCTTCCGCTCCACTGCCGAGGCCCTCAGAGCTGCGCCCACAGAGAAGCACGTAGTCCGAGTGGACCCAGCATGCCCACTCAGCCACAGCCCTGGGACCCAGGTAAGCCATAGTCCCAATCCTGACTTGGAGTCTACTCCTTCCCAGGTACAAATACACTCAGACCTGCTCCCTACCTCACTGGGGCTTGGCTCTGGGCAGGTAGCTCAGAGTCCCAAGGAAGCTATGTCCCCCCAAGACCCCAAAGGTCAGGTAGGGTTATATCCCATCAGATCCAGGCAGGTCATGTCTGCTCTTCAGACCCCAGGGCAAGCCCCTGAGGTTCTCAGGCCTCCCCCTGCCACACTTAGGGCAGGACTTTGACCCCCTCAGTCTCCCCAGGGCTCACCTATATCCCCTAAAGCAGCCCCACAGGGCCATGTCCCCCTGAGATCCCTCGCATGGCAGGGTTGTGTCCCTGTGAGACCCCCAGGGCAGAATGAATGTCTCCCTCTGATTCCCTGACACAGGGCACAGCCATGTCCTTCCAGAACTTCCCCCAACTGCCTGAGTTTAGTCATGTCCCCTCAGATTGTGTCCCGCAGGGCAGAACCATGACTTCCTCAAGCCTTCCCTGACAGAGCCTCCTCTGATGGCCCCAGTACAGCCTGACTCCTGTCCGCATCAGACCGCTGTCCGTGTGCAGGCGGGTACTCTGTCCCCTCCAAGGGCAGCCCAAGCGGGCCTGCCCTCCCCACGCCCCCTCTGGCCCTAGGTGCATGGAGACTATGCATGCACCCTGAACCAGACCAACATTGGAAGCAACAACAACAAGTTCTACATCATCCAGCTGCTGGAAGAGGGTGACCGCTTTGCCTGCTGGAACCGCTGGGGCCGAGTGGTAGGTGCCACCGCCTTCCCACCCTGTACCCACCTCCTCCCCACCTCTCCCTGCTCGACACATGCGCCCTGCTCCCCAGGGTCCGCACAGCTTACTTGGCTGGTGACTGCACCCCCTCGCTGCCTCTGACTGCCCAGGGTCTCTTGGCACAGGGCCTGGCAGAGTAGAGGCCCACAAGTGCTCACAGCCGGCCGGTGGCAGGCACACCCCTGAAGGCTGTCGGTTGTAGGGAGAGGTGGGCCAGTCAAAGCTCAGCTACTTCAAGCTCCTGGAGGATGCAAAGAAGGACTTTGAGAAGAAATTTCGGGAGAAGACCAAGAACAGCTGGGTGGAGCGTGACCACTTTGTGGCCCACCCGGGGAAGTACACGCTTATCGAAGTGCAGGGAGACAGCGAGGCCCAGGAAGCCGTGGTGAAGGTGATATGGCTGGGACGGTGGCAGGGCCTGGGACAAGGGAGGGGCCTGGAGGGAGAGACGCAGCCGGTTGGCTTCTGCCACTTCCCAGCTGTGTGACCTCAGGCACGGGCCTCCCCTTTCTGGCCTCAATCTGGCCAATCTTTGTCTAAGGCCAGGCTCTGCGCTGGCTGTGGCCAGCTGCTCCCGCCCACGTGCCCTCTACCCCTAGGTGGACGGAGGCCCCGTGAGGGCCGTGGTACAGCGCGTGCGGCCCTGCTCCCTGGACGCCGCCACACGGAAGCTCATCACCAACATCTTCAGCAAGGACATGTTCAAGAATGCCATGACCCTCATGAACCTGGGTGAGGGGAGAGGGGCCAGGCAGGGTGGCGGGGTCCCCGGGGGGAGTGCAGGGCTGTAGGGCTGAGTCTCCCCCACTCTCCCCGCCCCCCCAGATGTGAAGAAGATGCCCCTAGGGAAGCTGAGCAAGCAGCAGATTGCACGGGGCTTCGAGGCTTTGGAGGCCCTGGAGGTGGCGCTGAGAGCCCCCACGGATGGTGGCCTCAGCCTGGAGGCACTGTCCTCCCACTTCTACACCGTCATTCCCCACAACTTTGGCCGCACCCGGCCCCCGCCCATCAACTCCCCTGAGCTCCTGCAGGCCAAGAAGGACATGCTGCTGGTGAGGTTTGGCAGGGGGGCAGGCAGCGGGGCAGATGGACAGACGGGGCAAGGGAGATGGGGGACAGATGGCCAAGAAGGCCCAGAGAGGTGGACAGAATGGGTAGCCGGAAGGACAGGGGAGGGAAAGGCCAGACCAGTGGATGGGGTGGGAGTGCAGAGGCGGATAGACAGGTGGGGTGGCCATGATCCCAGTTGTGTGGGAGGGAGGAGGCTGGGAGTCAAGGGGCCACACAAGCCGCCCGTGCCCATCACTCTAGGTGCTGGCCGACATCGAGCTGGCCCAGGCCCTGCAGGCATCCCCCGAGGAGGAGGAGGTGGAGGAGGTGCCACACCCACTGGACCGAGACTACCAGCTCCTTAAGTGTCAGCTCCAGCTGCTGGACCCAGAGGCGACCGAGTACAAGGTGGGCCGGTCCCGCAGAGGAACCAGGCTGACAGGAGGCACTGTCCCTCTGCCCACCTGCCCTCCTGGTGTGCAGAGGAATCGCCTGCCCTTGGCGTTCTCTCCCTGTGTCCGTAGGGCCTGAGCAGAGCTCTGGGACTGGAGGCCGCAATGGGGTTCTGTCCACACATCTCTCACCCTCGGCACCCAGCTTCTGTTTTTCCTGCAGGTGATACACACCTACCTAGAACAGACTGGCAGCAGCTACAGGTGCCCGGCTCTTCAACATGTTTGGAAAGTGAACCGAGAAGGGGAGGTGAGGGAGAGTCTCCCCAACCCATTCCCCTCACTACCTGCCCCTTCTGGAGATGACCTTGGCTTATGTGCCTATCAGCGAGTCGGTTTAACAACTCCTCAGCCTCCCCTAGGCCCAGGTCTTGGGCACGTGTGCGTGAGTGTGTGTGACTGGCCAGAGGGGCCTTTGGCCTTGGTTGCACCCTCTGAACAGCAGGGAGAAACACCTGAGCTTGGATAGCATGACCCTCCCTGTCGCCACCTGCTTCCCCGCAGGGAGACAGGTTCCGGGCCCACTCCAAGCTGGGTAATCGGAAGCTACTGTGGCATGGCACCAACGTGGCGGTGGTGGCCGCCATCCTCACCAGTGGGCTCCGCATCATGCCACATTCCGGCGGCCGCGTTGGCAAGGGCATCTACTTCGCCTCAGAGAACAGCAAGTCAGCTGGCTATGGTGAGGTAGCCCGCGGGGCCAAGCCCGGGCCCGGCACGGGACACGAGGGAGGACTGGGCCTAGTGCTTGCCCAACTCGCGGTGGATCCAGGAGAGGAATCCTCGAGTGGCTACTGACCAGAGCACTCAGCGGTGCATCCTGGGGAGGCGGGTCGGGACTCAGAGGAAGTGTAGCTGGTCAGGGACAGGTCAGAAGCCCCAGGCAACTTCCCTTCCAGGAGAAGGTGATGCAGATAGGAGGAGCGTGCCAGCCAGAGGTGGGGGGGGAGGAGGGCTGGTGAAAAAGGAGCCTTGGAGGTCAAGAAGCTAGGAGGTGGCACAAAGCCTGGGAGGCTGCAGCAGGTCAGGCCCCCTGCACACAGCCTGATGATAAAGATCTGAGCAAATGCCTGTTCTGGGCGGGGACTGGGGCCTGGAGCATCAAGGGAGTTTATCCAGAGAGTGATGGGGACCCTAATCAGACTTGTATACAGCAGCATCTCGGTGGCTGCAACCATGGGAGGGCAGCTGAGGCCAGAGGCACAGGGGAGCCGCGCTCTCACCCGGGCCAGAGGTGATGGGCACCCAGCCCAGGCAGGGGAGGTGGGGGAAGAGAGAATCCGTGAGAGGGGATGTGTGAGAAGTGGGGTGGGCAGCTTGTGTGACAAGGTCAGAGGTACCTCTGATGACCCCCAAGTTTCTGTCCAGAGGTGTCCTCACTGAGGAGACCTCCCCAGACTGGGTCCTCAGCCAGCCCATCACTGGAGACCCCCACCACCCACCAAGCCAAGAGAGGCTGGAAGGGACTGATGTTCTAGGATATCTGAGGTTGCCCAAGGCCAAGGGGTCCACCAGGAGGGAAGAGGAGCCTAAGAAGGAGTAGAGGGGGGCTTCGGGAGAGCGAGTTCCAGGGGGTCCCGGGGTAGGGGCTGGAGGATGCCGTTGGCAAAATCAGAACAGGCCAGAGAGAAAAGGTGTCTACCCTGGATTTGGTCATTGGGAGCCCATTGCTGACCTTGGAGTGGGGGCAGGGGCTGCAGAGGCCTGCTCTCTGGGGTCCAAGGAATAGGGGAGGGGTGGGAGGGGGCACAGCCAGGACAAGGGGGTGTTTTTAAGGATGCAGGAAGAGGGGGCACTTTTCTGGGCTGGGTCAACAAAGCCAGAGGAAATAATTGTGCAGCAGAGCAGGGGCCAGGGAGTCAGGTAGGAGGCCAGGCTGCTCATGCTGAGCTTCCCTGGGTTCCCCAGTGACTGGCATGTCCTGTGGAGCCCACCAAATTGGCTATATGTTCCTGGGGGAGGTGGCACTGGGCAGAGAGCACCACATCACCATCGATGAGCCCAGCTTGAAACAGCCACCCCCTGGCTTCGACAGTGTCATTGCCCGAGGCCACACAGAGCCTGGTGAGTCCCAAAAAGCTGGATAGGCCTGAGGATAAAGGCCTGGGGCTGAGCTAGGGGACCAGGATGCTTTCAGGGAGGAGGTGGGCAGGGAAGGGGCTGTGGAGAGGGACAGAAAGAAGCAGCCCTTCTTACTAGTCATTTACTTTGTCGTTCGACAAACACTTCCTGGTTCAACATCACTCCTGGGCATCAAGGAGGGCTTCAAAGAAAAGGTGTCAATGACTGAGCATTAAAAGATAAGTAGGCATTTCCCAGGCAGAGAAATGGGATGGATATTCCAGGCAGAAGGCCCAGCCTGTGCGGTGGTTTGGAGATTGCAAGCTGGGAATGAGCAGGTGTTCCCCGTGGCAGAAGTGGAGAGTATAGGTGGCAGAACTTATTGGTAAAGCCAAGGATCAGTGACCCTTGATTCACCCATGGCCCTTGCTGTGCCCCGCAGATCCAACCCAGGACACTGAGCTGGAGCTGGATGGCCAGCGAGTGGCAGTGCCCCAGGGCCAGCCTGTGCTCTGTGCAGAGTTCTGCAGCTCCCAATTCTCCCAGAGCGAGTATCTCATCTACCAGGAGAGCCAATGTCGCCTGCGCTACCTGCTGGAGGTTCACCTCTGAGCTGTCTGCCTACCCCCACCCCTGGGGCTTGCTGGCAGCTAGACCATCAGCCTTAACCTTCCTGCTCATCCCTGGTGCCCCCAAATCTCCCTCTTGTGTCACAGGCAATGATCCCCCCCCCTCCAATCTTTGCTAGCCCTGGCATGGCCATGGCCCCAGAGTCTCACCTCCTAAGGTGATGGGCATGAGGGACTGCCATTATTACTGGGGCACAGACAGATGAAGCTGCCTGTTCAAGTTAGAGGAGCACAGGCTGAGAGTGGGTGGGGTCCCACATCCACCCGGGCTGTCCACCCTGACCCAGACCATCTGTCTGAGAGGTGTGAGTACCAGGTCAGGCTGAACTTCAAGCATATGTAGCAAGTTTATTAAATATTGTATCCACTCACTCCCTGGCCTCTGCTTGTCTGTGCTGCAGCTCCTTCCCTCTCGTCGGGGACCCACCAACCACACAGCAGCCCCAGCCCTGCTCTAGGGAGTGAGCACTCACAAGGGTGATGTGGGACACACACACACACACACACACACACACACACACACCATCGATCTACATCCATGTCTGCAACACCTGCCTCCTGATCATTGAGCCTTCAAAGGGGACTCTCGCCATTTGGGGACCCATGTAGTGATTCTGCCTTTTAGCCCAGACACAGCCCAGCAAATCAAGCATTTCTCATGTCTCGGCACCAAACATCCATATGTATCTTATATGCGGCTATTATTAATAAGTTCAGCATATAGCTAAGGGGTACTGTTCTATAATCATGACAGGCATGCCAGCCACCCCCCCAAGTAACCCTGTCCCCAAATGGGGGTGCAGGTGCTAAAGAGCAGGTTTGGGTTCGGTCCAGGGTCACACATTGCATTTAGTTGTCATGCCTCATGTGTCTCCTTCAGTCTGCAACCATTCCTCGGCCCTTCTTTCCCCTTCATAACTTTGACATTCTTGATACGGGAGGGGACAGGCCAGTTGTTGTACAGAATATCTCGATTTGGGTTTGTCTGATGTTGTGTCATGATCAGCTTCAGGCATTGCAGTTTGGGCAGGAATATGACCTACGTGATGTGTCCTCTGTGCATTATATCCGCAGGGATATGTCTCATTCTCGATGATGTTAATTTCAATCTCTTGTGTCCACCAGGGGTCTCCACCTGAAAGTCACCATTTTTCCTGTTTGTAATTAATCAGTGAACTGTGGGAAAATATCTTGAGGTGTAAGCGTCCCATCCTTCCTGGACTTTTACCCACTAGTTTTAATATCCATTGATGATTTTTACCTGAAATCGACGACTTAAATCAATTTTTGCTAAGATGATTGCAAACGATAGTTACCTAATTCCCTCATTTCTTTTATATTTATTAATCACTAGTCCCCTTTCTTTATTATCCGTATGGACTTGTAGATTTTTATCTTATGTGATGGGTTATAATCCATTACTGTAATTATTTTGATCTTCAAAATGTCCCAGATTTTGCCAGCAAAAGGTCTTTCAAGCCAACTCTCAGATCTACATCATTTTTTGAGCACTTCTTTCCTTTCTGGCATCACAAAATGTTCCAAGCTCATTTCGTGCAAACCTGGAATCAACCATTTCTCCAAGGAGCCCTGGTTCCCTAGAGCAGGAAATGGTATTTAACATCCAAGATTTGGGCAGTAGGTATGCTCCTTGGTACTGGGGTATCGTTGTTTTTAAGTCCTTGTAGCAAAGAGAGCCAGGAAATATGTATATGTAAATAAATGAACACATCTATCCATGTCTATTTCTCCAATTCCAATCCAGCACCACAGGGTTCTTCCATTCTCCCCCAAATGTATAGTTTAAATGCCTCCTTTCTCTAACAGGAAGAACCTTGGTTTCCATCAACCTTAGTATATTTACTTACTGCTTAATCCCACACACAAAGGAGTTTCAGAGTTGCTACTCCCATACCATTGTGAAAACCAAACTTTGTAAGTTGAGCTCAAGATGTACTGAATCTTTTTCAGGACTTATCTTTTAGGCTGAGGGTCAATGGTCAAAGGAGCAGTTTGGGCAAAGGTTCAAATATCACTTGGTTGAGCTATTTATTTCTCTTCAGCATGGTTGTTATACATTTGAAGTATAGGGAGGTTCATTTGTTTCTGTTTATAATTAACCTTTAGGGGGTTTTCCTCATCTTCGTTGGTTGACTTTTTTCAATACGTAGAACACTGACATAGTTCCAAAAAGTCCAGTCTTTTGGACAGAAATGTGTGCTCAGAAGAGCCTGTCACTCCATTCCCACCCACTTGCTGTAGTTTCTGGTTTATTCTTCCTGTATTTCTTTGTGCAAATTAAGACAAAACAAGACACCAAACCAAACAAAAACAAAAACGCAAAAAAGATAAGCTACAAAGTGTTCCATTATCCCTCCGTTTTTAACTTAGTTGGACTATTTTGGAGGGAGCGTGCACTCTCGGTGATGTTATCATCTCCATCCCTGCCTATTGCCTTCCCCCAGTCCACTTTTCTCATTTGCTATTCCCACTTGGCCCTGCTGAGCCTTCCTCAGGCCCAGGTGGCTCAGGCACTGACCCTAGCGTGCAGGGCCCTCTGGGCAGAGAGAAGAGGAGAAGGGAAGGCGTTGGACTTCCTCTTATTCTGAACTAAGACCTCAAAAATCCAGCTTCACCTCCTAAAGGCAAAGGCCCACGTTTAAGCTGTGGCCAAGCACAGGAACTGGTGCCTGTGTAGACCTGGGTTCCAGGCACAATTCAGCTGTGTGATCTGGGACACATTCCTTACTTCTCTGAGCACCAGTTTTCTCACGTGAATAATGGAGAATTGGACCAGGCTCTTCAAATTCCAGCGGGAAATGAGTCAAATCTGGAAGCTCATGCTATTGTGGCTACCACCTAGTTCTGTACAACGCTGATCATGTGCCTGGGGTGGGTTCTAGGGGCCCAGATGAAGACAAAATCCCAGCTCTCGTGGAGCTTACAGGCTAGGACAACAGGCTCTAAACAAGCATGTGCAGGGATCTGAAATTTATCGAGTAGGAAAAGTGCCAGGAAGAAAAAGAAGGCAGGGTAAAGAATTAGTGATGGGGGGGGCGGGATTTTAGGAAAAATGGTCACCAAAGTCCTCTCTCAAGCAGTGCCCAGACTTAGGTGAGGGACCAAGTCCTGGACAGATCCGAGGGAAGTGTGTTCTGACAGAGGAAACAGCACATGGGAAGATCTTGAAGTGGAAACCAGTTTGACATGTTGGAGGACCAGCAAGATGACAGGTATGGTTGGAAGTGTGGTCAGCAAGGAGTGTGAGGTCAGAGAGGTGGAGAGAAGGCCACCTGGGCACCAAGGAGCTGAGAGTCTAATCTGATGATGGGAAGCTCTTAGAGGGGTGACAGCAGGGTCATGACATGATGGGATTTGTTTTTAGAAGGATCCACTTCAGCTGCTATGTAGAGAGTGGACTGGAGGGTGTGTCAATCAAGATCCAGTCAGTGGGGAGGTGGGTGGGGTGACGGGGTAACTGGATGATGGGCATGAAGGAGGGCATGTGATGTAGTAGCACTGGGTGTTCTACGCAAATGATGAATCACTGAATTCTACCTCTGAAATTAATAATACACTATATGTTAATTAATTGAATTTAAATAAAGTACATTTAAAAAAAATCCAGTCAGCAAAGCTGAAATCACCCTCGGGATTCCAGACAAGGAGAATTTTATAGAGGAGAGAAACAACTATCAAAGGGGATAGTGAGGCAATCCAAAGATTAGCAACAGTAGGAAGTTGCTACCACCATTGGGCCCGAGGGATAATGGAAGGAAATGGTATTCCACTGCGTAGAGGCCACGATCTCCCTGCAAGCACCCAACCACAGAGGGAGCTGTCCTCCACAGAGGTAGACCCAGAGCCCCAGGCTGAGCATGAGAGGGAAAATACCTTCTTCGGCTTCCTCCCTCCCTCCACCCTCCAGTCTTCCGCTGCTAACTTCTTTTAGCTGAATATACCCCAAAACCAACTGGCAAAGGAGTCTGGGAAGTACAGTTCCCCGGAAGGCGGAGCACTGGGGAAGACTGGGGAATGGATCTGGGGACAAACAGGCAAATGACCAGCACAAGGTGCAGGAGCAGAGGCTGGGAGACCAACTGGGAGGATGCTGAGGTGTCAGGTGTGAGGTGGTGGCGGCTGGGACCATGGGAGTGGTGGTGGTGAGAAATGGATGGATTCACAGAAATTGATGGGTTGGAGGTGGGGCCTGGGGGAAGGGAGGCATCAGTAAAAACTCCTGAGATGGAGTTTACTGAGCTGGGGAAGACTCAGCCAGGAGCACGTTGGGCAGGGCTACAGGGTCACGGTTCTGTTTTGGACATAGGACATTTAAGGTGTCCGATAGTCAAAGTACTAGGGGAGATGTCGGAGAGGCTGGGGAGAGGAAGGAGTTTCAGATACAAGTCAAGCCATCAGGGTATAGGTGGGGTTTTGACTGAGGACTGGGTGACTTCACCTGGGAGCATATGCCCCACTGGAGTCACATGGCTTTCCCTGAGCCAACCACGTTGGGTGTGGAGGATGCCATACACTGACTGGCCAGGACTGGGTTTTGTGCCTTATCAGGAAAACGGAGGGTAGGGATCTTGCTCACCCAAACCATAAGCCCTGAGAGTTGGGAAGGGGTGGTTTCCTAAAGAAAACTCAGTGTGCTCCTAGGAGAAGGGGATTTGTTTGCTAACAGCAAAAAGAAAACCAAACAAGGGGGCGCCTGGGTGGCTCAGTCGGTTAAGCGTCTGCCTTCGGCTCAGGTCATGATCCCTGGGTCCTGGGATCGAGCCCCACATCAGGCTCCCTGCTCCGCAGGAAACCTGCTTCTCCCTCCCCCACTCCCCCTGCTTGTGTTCCCTCTCTTGCTGTGTCTCTCTCTGTCAAATAAAGAAATAAAATCTTAAAAAGAAAGAAGGAAAGAAAGAGAGAGAGAAAGAAAACCAAACAAAAAACAACCTTGAGGGGAACCTGGCTGGTTCAGTAGGTAGAGCATGTGACTCCTGTCCTCGGGGTTATGAGTTCAAGCCCCATGTTGGGTATAGAGCCCACTTTAGATGATAGATAGATAGATAGATAGATAGATAGATAGATAGATAGATGATAGATAGATAGATGATAGATAGATAATAGATAGATAAAAAGTACTCAGCAAAACATTAAAAAAAAGCAGTTGAGATGGCAACTACACATAAGGTGGGGAACATT